TAGCTGAAACAGCCAGGCATGGTGGCTCATGTCTATAATCCCAGGACTCTGGGAGGCAGAGGCAAGAGGATTGCCTGAGCCCAGAGGTTTGAGACCCACCTGGGCAACTTGGCAAGGCCTCGTCTCTACAAAAAAAAAAAAAAAAAAAAAATCAAAAAATTAGCCACGTGTGGTGGTGCTCATCTGTGGTTCCAACTACTTGGAAGGCTGAGGCAAAAGTCTTACCTGACCTCAGCAGATTGAGGCTGCGGTGGCTGTGAGCATGCCACTGCTCTCCAGCCTGGGCCACAGAGTGAGAATAGAACTCAAAAAAATAAAAATAAAATAGCTGAAACCAAAAGTCAAAGCGATTTCTCAGTCTTGAAGTAATTTTTGGACTTTAAGCTCCAGCTAATCCCCCAAAAGGGTATTTTAAGGCAGCTCCTTGAAATGCAGAGCCAGCTTTTGAAGGGGTAGTGAGCATCAGTCCCAGGGATATGGCATCCTGAATGGTGGCATGGAAGTGCTGTTTCTCTGCATGTCTCCCTCCCCCCAACTAGGGACAGGCTACAACATAATACTTTTATGATTTTTTTCTGAGTTTTTCTGTGTATGCCTGATACAAGGACATCATCAAAAATGGCAAGCCTTCTGATAAACAGTGGAAAGCCCCTTGGAGGCAACTAAAGTAACGAACCAAAGACACAACAGAAATTCTCTGGGACAAATAATGACTGCTTAAGAGTAGGATTATTAAACCAGGCATGATGACTCAAGCCTGTAATCCCAGCACTTTGGGAGGCTGAGGCAGGAGGACAGCTTGAGCCCAGGAGTTCCAGACCAGCCTGGGCAACATAACAAGACCTCATCACTACAAAAAAATTTTTTTTAATTAGCCAGGCATGGTGGCATGCACCTGTAGTCCCAGTTACTAGGGAGGCTGAGGGGGAAGGATCACCTGAGCCTGGGAGTTCAAGGCTGCAGTGAGCAGTGATCATGCTACTGTACTGCAGCCTTGGCAACAGAATGAGACTCTGACTCAAAAATAATAATAATAAAAAAAGAGAAGCATCAATAATGATCATTTGTGTTTAAGCAAGGTCTTGCTTGATAAAGACAATTATCCTAAAGAAAAAAAATTGGGAAAAAAAGTTGACCAGAGGCAGAGTCTATATACGAGTACTACTTCAAGGCCTTACAAGCAGATCATCCTACACTAGCATTAACCACTAAACTCGACTACTAGAGACCGTATAGGTCCTCACGTACCTACAGGTGCATAATCTAACTGACTGGTCAAGCTTTTCCATCTTCATTATTTTTCCCTAGGACAAAGGGTCTATTTTCATTTTTCTGAATAGATCAATGGCTAGATTTCAAAGAACTGGCTGCTCTCCTAGTTCTCAAGTTCTTTGAGAAAACCTTAAATCTGTTGGGAAAGTACATATGTTTTGACACCAATTCCCAGAGGAAGTCCCTGGACCACTGTCTTCCGGTGGTGACTTTTCTGGGCCTTCCCAGCATGGCTCCAGAATTGTTCAATCCATGCAAATGTGAGTGACTGCATAGTCTCGCAACAGTTTGGCGGAGGACCTGGAAGGACCACATTTTAGAAGACCCTTTTGCAAGATGGAAGCCAAGGCCTTCCTTGACGGTGTGGCTCACCAATACTTAACACAATGGGCCATTTGCAAGTCACATGGACATAAAGCAGGAGCCTCAATGTAGTGTCTCACCCATAGTCTTCTAAATGACAGGCCTTTTAATTTTCATTGAACATTTAAATCACATGATGAAGGAGAGAGAACTCAAGCATCACGTCATACCGGTAGATGATGACAGCACGTCAGCTACCTGTCCTGCTCGCAGAATCCGAACTCTGGCTACCTGCGGCACCAAGAACTTGAAATGTGGCTAGTCCAATGTGAGAGTCACCATCGTATAAGCCACACACTGGGTTTCGAAGATTTTGTCCACACAAAAAGTCAAATACATCATTAATAATTTTTATATTGATTACATGTTGAAATGGTATATTAGGTATACTTTACTAAGTGAAATATATTATTAAAATGAATTTCATTATTTCTTTTTTGTTTTTCTAAATATGGCTTCTAGAGATTTTTAAAATATATATGCATGACCCACATTTCTGGGCTGAAATGCAGGAAGAAGATGGACAGAAGTTTCTGCAGGAAGAGCAAGGGTTTCCCTGTCACTATCATAAGTATTTCCCACACTCTGCTGACCCCGTCATTAGCAGCATTTATAGGCAGCATTCTTACCATAACCATTTATATTATAATTTAATTGAGATGCAGTCTCATTGGGTTAGGGTTTTTTTGAGCCATACTCTATATTAAGTGTGTTTTAGACAAGAAGTGCCTTTGAAAAGCTGCATCCCAAAAATTCTGACCGCCCCTAATCATCTAGGGCTAATGTTCTCACAATCTGCTGCCAACAAGAAAACTGTATCTCGGAAACAACAGCACCTTCACTGGAATACTGACTCAGAGGCGCCGAAATGGAAGAACTCAGCTGTTCCGCAAGTCTACCGACTCAGACTCCCAAGAACAGGGCTGGCAGCGAGGGGAGTTCAGAAGTGAAATGACTGGTCCACAGGTCGTTGGAAAGCATTCCTTCATCTATTCATTCATTCCTTAAGCCAGCGTTTATGAAATGCCGACCACCTGCCAATCACACCAGTGTCGTGGTTTTCTATTTTTAGGCTTTATAATAGAATAGAAATATCATCCTCCAAAAGGAAGTCGTTTGACAGAAAACCTTTCAAAGGTTCACCAAAACTAACCGCTTCCCTCTCCTCACCTCTATCACCCGGGTTAATGTTGTCAGTTCAGGTAAGGGTCTGATCACGTTCTTACCAGACTATTGTTTGGTTGGTTTGCAAGAATGAAACTATACTGTCTGACTCAGATTTTTCAAGAGCTTGTTCAACTAATTATCAGCATCACCATTAAAGTTAAAAATGACCAGGGTGGGGGTCATTCCTCCCCCTGAGAAATAATTTCTACTAGTTTATTTTTCTTTTTTCTTGAGTCAGGGTTTCACACCGTCACCCACGCCTGTGCAGTGACATGATCACAGATCACCACAGCCTCAACCTCCTGGGTTCAGGAAATCTTCCCTCCTCAGCCTCCTGAGTAGCTGGGACTACAGGTACATGCCACCACACCTGCCAACCTTTTTTTTTTTTTGTAGAGACAAAGTCTCGCTATGTTGTCCAGAGTAGTCTCAAACTACTAGGCCCAAGCAATCCTCCCGCCTCAGCCTCCTAAAGTGCTGGGATTACAGGCATGAATCACTATACACAGCTATTTTTTAAATGACTACATAACAAACATTCTATGACTTATATGCACTACAGATTATCCAACCTTCTCCTTATAAGTGCATATTCCCTTTGTTTCTAGTTTTGGGGGGGGGTTTGGAGGGAGAGGGTTCTTTTGCTAGTACTAAAAATATCACCAAAAAAATGCTCTTGTGACATTTTTAAAAAGAACACTCTTGGGGGGGAATTTTAAATAAATTGAACTAAATGTATTGATTTTGGGGAAAGCAGCAGTTTTAAGATGTTAAGTCTTTCTATCCAAGAACACAGCATATGTTTTTCCATTTGGGCGTAATCCCATCCATGGAGAATTTGTAATCAAATAAGGAAAATAAGGCTTGTGCACAAATAACCACGACACAAGAAAAACGGAAAGCACTCCATGAGATCATGAGGGAAGGGACACCCTGGAGGTGAGACCTGATCTGTGTAGGGTGTGAACACCCATGAATGGAGGTGGTGAAGGTCAAACTTGGCCAGGGTCAAGGTGCAATAAACAGGCCTCAAAAGGGGTTGGAACACACAGTGGGGACACAGGAGCCATGCCAAAGTACCTGGCAGCTAGAAATCAGGCAGGGAGCTGAGCTCAGGTGGGCAGGGTCATGGAGCAGCAGCTCGATTGAGACCAAGAGCAGACCAGATGAACACTCCACTAAAGCTCACTGTCAGGTGAGCAGGATGTGCTCAGTCAGGGAGCGGTTGGAATAAATAGTGCACGGAGAAGCCCTAAGTTAGAGAGAAGGAAGGGAGACTAGAGAGGAGGAAAGAAATAGACACAGCCTTGGCCCCAGGACGGCAACACAGATGCTCACTAGACCAGGGGAAAAGGGAGTAGGATTTCAGCTGGAGCCAGGGCGAGCACTGGCATGGCGAGGTCATCCACCAGACCAACAAGGTAGAAGGTATGTCATGACTGGTTTCCTGATCCAAACAGACACCTCTGGATAGTAATTACAGCACTGCGCTTCCGGGAAGTCCAACAGACGAGCTCACTTGCCAAAACGTTGACTGGCTCACACTCCACAGGCTTCTCACCTGTCAGGGGACGTTCACTATTTCTAGACTTGCTCGTATCCTGCTCAAAAAGTACTCTTCTTCAACATCGCCTGGTGGCATATCCTGGCCAAGACAGCCTTTGCCTAAACCGTAAATTGCTAAATAGGTAAGACCTTAGTCAAAAGCTTTCTTTCAAATGGTGCCATTTGCGAGGGGGGGGATTCAGTCAACTTTTAGAACTAAGTAAATTCAGCCATATTTCGAAATAAAATTTATACAGTCAAAAAATATTATAAGACACAACTCTAGCTCTGTGTTAAATGAAACCTCTGTGTTAAATGAAATCTGAATTTTAAAATAAAGTTAGCTTATAATTTCATTATCCAACTATACTTTGAAATTATTTTTCTTGTAACTCGAGGTACAAAGTGATTGTCAATAAAGATCGGATAAGAGACTATCAATAGAATGGACATTTTCCCAAATTAAAATGTTGGTGACTCCTGGGTCAAAAGCAGTAACCAAAACTGGAAGGACAAGACTGACAACTGCAGAAAATTCCAGAAGGCTTTTCTTCAGCAGCAGCTCAATTTGCAATATCTGAGTATGAGAAGAGGGGGGAAAAAAAATCAATCAACATGAAATTATGTTTTGCAAAAAATTTAAATGTACAAACCTCATAATGTTCATATTCATCCACATCAAATGTCTCAAAGTCAAAAAATCCATGTTGTAATCCCTAAAAGCAGAATTCGAATTAGTTTTTCCATACAAAATTGATGAAATCTATTTGCTATTTCTGGAATTTTTAACTTATAAAATAATCCTCACTGATCTGGAAAAGAAAGCTTGAAACTCTTGATTGTTAATGCATTTCCAAATATTTTATGACACTGGTAATATTGCTTCAAGACCACCTTAGAAGTAGAACTAAATAAACACTTAGAATAACATGAAAATATGTCCCCCAAAATATGCCCTGAGTTCTAATTTACATTAGTTTTGTATGTAAAATTAATTATGCATATAAAATGAAACAGCAAATTTATAGTTGGGAACTATACCTAAGAAAGAAAATCGTGGTTAACTTTTCAGACAGGAGAAGAAAATTCGATTATTCTTAGGAAGTTCCATTTTCCTTTTATCATAATGAGATATTTGGCACCAAAAAAGGGACCCTTTTACTTTTCTTCTTTTTTTTTCTTATTTTTTATAAATCAAGCACTACCCTACAATACTCTTCTTTTTTTCTTCCCATCCAAAAAACTCTTAATATTTTTACTTAATAAGCCCTTATTTGATCCTAAAACTCTACCTTGAGAGACTCTGTTTCATGATGATAATTTCTGACAAACTGAAAGTATACTTGACTGTTCTTACAATTTATAAGAAAAAAAACTGATACTTTTAACACACCAAAAAAACCGTAATTCTCTGTTTTGTAACTAATTACTTAGAACTTTTAAAAATGACAAAGTGATTTTTATCTTATAAACTGTGAAGCCATGCAGATTACAATAGAATACAAAACCACAGGCACATTTAAAAGCTACATGATCAAGTCATTAAAAAGAGAAAAAGAAACTAGCAAGTCAAGTTCTAGTACTTGAAAACACTTTACAGACCAGTGTTTTTTTCAAAATGTAGAGCACGGACCATCTGCATCAGAAACACTTAGGTTAACTTATTTTTAAAGAGCAGGGTCCCTCACCCCATCCCAGAACTGTTAAATCAGACTCTCTGGGGATGGGACCCTAGGGACCAGCATTTTAAACTTGGCTTCCTGGGTGACATTTACAAGCGCTACATTCTGACAATTCTGGTTTAAATTACCTCTAAGTGTAAGCAGAACAAATTGTTTAAAGTATTCCACCTTTAAAAAAAAACTAAGTGAGCTCATCCATATGCACCATTCCAAAACAAAGGTGAGAAAAATATACTCTAAAAGACTCGTTTTTCTTTCTCTCTCCTCATTTCTAGGTATGTGTTTTCCTATGTTCCTGTAGGTAGCAGTTCATATAACATATAAACTATGCCATGACAAGGTCAATAATACCAAAACCAGAACAATATGCTCCTTAAGCACGCAAAACTATGGCCATACTCTGTGTAGATTCTTAGAAAGGTACAACTCATTACCACAAAAACAGCCCAAAACATGGTGGCTTACATAAGAGAACAGACACACAGGAAATATCTCAGTTGCTTAAGACATGCTGAACCATCTAGCAGACCCTCTAGAATCTCATCTCTAAATGAATGAACTCCAATATGTGATGAGACAATCCATTTACAGAAGACCTTACTCCTGACCGAAGTCACACTTTTCTCCACCACAGGAAGGCTCTCAAGTATTTCTAATCAAATTGCTAGCTACCACCATGACAGGCAAATATAGTCAGTGTGACGCTTCCTGTCATAAAAGAATGGCCTGTACCAGATGGTGGTAAAGGCAAAATAATAATAGCAAAGGACATAAATAAATTACTTTTTCCCCAGGCACATTTTCTAAATGCTAATGATGGCTTATATGTTGGGTAATATCTCCATGAAAGTTCTTATCTGGGATTATTGGAGTGTATTTTGGTAATATTTGATAATATGGTTTGCAAGGTTGGGCTGGGAATATCTCCATTGTGAAAAGAAAAATATTTTTTAGTGAAAAGAAAAATATTTTAAGACTATTTTAAAGTTCGAGAGGGTTTAAATTCATTTTAAAATGAAATATCAAAGTCAGAAACAACCATGCATAAAACAGGTAGTATATTTATCACACAGATTTTCTCAGTTCAAATCATAGCAAAATCAGTTTCAGATGACATCAGAGAAATGAGCTAGAATTGCTGCAGATACTGTGTGTACAGTCCATGATGACCCTTACCAGTGGGTCACGGGACTTGTACATGCCTAACTGATAACACGTCATGGCTATATGTTCAAGACGGAACCATGTACTTTGAGCCCTCCTTAGAATTTACAGCAGAGCCTGCATAATATCTCAGATTGTAAGCTGATGTTTCTAAAACATGTTCCAAGAGCTCTCAAAAATCTTTTGGTTTTAACTTCTCCGTTACATACAATATATAAATAATGACGACTTGGTTCTCAAACTTAAGAGTGCCTCAGGTCACCTGGAGGTATTGTTCAAATAAGGATGGCAGGGCCCCGCCCCCAGAGGTTTCTATTCAGTTGGTCTGGGGTGGGGACGGACCAACAGAGGGGAACAGTGGCTTAGGAAACTTCCTGTTACTTCCACACCAAGATCAACCTCGATAATGAGGCTAAACATGTGACAAAGCCATGTCATGGGCACGGCTACAGGCAGAAGTGATAGATCAGCCTAGAATGCCAGCCTTTAAAACAGAAAGCCCCCACCCCCACCTCATCTGTATTTGTCAAATCAACAAGAAATGAAAAGCATCCTACGTGCTGGCCCCTTTCTCTTCTTTCCAACAACAAACAAGGATGGTGAGATCATTCCTTTTTCGTGGTTTGTTTTTTTTTTTTGAGTTGGAGTCTCACTCTGTCGCCCAGACTGGAGTGCAGTGGCCGCTCCCAGCCACCACAACCTCGACCTGCTGGGCTCCGGCGATCCTTCCGTCTCAGCCTTCCGAGTAGCCGGAACTACAGGAACTACAGGCGTGCGCTACCACGCCCGGCTGGTTTTTTGTAGAGATGAGGTCTTGCTGCCCAGGTGGGTCTCAAACCCGCGGGCTCAGGCAATCCACTCACCTCAACCTCCCAAAGGCACGGGATTACAGGCTGAGCCAATGACTGTGTCAACTACAGAAAGAAGAATTGTTCTTACCTTTCTGATTCCCTGCAGACAGTCGAGGATGGTGAGGTTGTAAGTGCAATTTCCAAAGGAAGCATCCCTATAAATAAAAATATATAAATTCAACATTAGAAAGTCTGCCTTTAGAACATTCAAATAACAAAATGCCAGAGTCAGCTGGGACGGTACCCCTTGGTTTCACAGCTATCCACATGGTAAAGGCACACGACACAGTAGCCCCTACTAGCTAACTCCTCCTGCAGCCTGGAGGAAGCACTTCTGAAACTGCTTTATCCAATGGGCAGAATTACTTTAAAAAGCAGACTTAAGAGCCAGGGCTCCAGAATCACGTGGCCTTGGTTCCAATTCCAACTCTACCAGGTACTGAGTAAAAATGTGAGCCCATTATTTTACCGCTATGCGTCTTGGTTTCCTCCTCTGTGAAATGAAGTTAATGACAGCTAGTACCCACAGGCTTATTGTCAGATTACATTTAAAAAATAGGTAAAGCCCTCAATATAGTGACCCGGCACACAGGAAGCACTTAATAAATATTATGACTATTCATATTAACAGCAAATTGAGGCTGGGCATGGTGGTTCATGCCATTAATCCCAGCACCTTGGGAGGCCGAGGCAGGAGGACAGGAGACAGAGACCAGCCTGGGCAACATAGTGAGACTTTGTCTCTACACAAAAAGAAAAAAGAGAAAATAGCTGGGCATACTGGTTTCTGTCTTTAGTCCCAGTTACTTGGGAGGCTGAGGCAGAAGGATTGCCCGAGACCAGGAGGCTGAGGCTACAGTGAACCCATGATCATGTCACTGCACCCCAACTTGGGTGACAGACTGAGACTCCAACTCAAAACAAAACAAAACAAAAAACAGAGAACTGAACTGTTTCATCTTAAGAACAGTAGAGCAGGGTTCCCCAATCCCTATGCCACAGACTGGTATCAGTTTGTGGCCTGTAAGGAACCGGGCCACACAGCAGGAGGTCAACGGCCATCAAGTGAGCAAAGTTTCCTCTGTATTTACAGTCACTCCCCATCCCTGGCATCACTGCCTGAGCTCTGTCTCCTGTCAGATCAGTGCGGGCATTAGATTCTCAAAGGAGCGCAAACCCTATCAAGAACTACACATGTGTGGGATCTAGGTTGTATGCTCCTTATGAGAATCTAATGCCTGATGATCTCCCCCTCTCCACCCCCATCCATGGAAAAACTGTCTTCCACAAAACCAGTCCCTGACGCCAAAAAGGTTGGGCACCACTGCTGTAAAGCATTAATCACCATAAGAGGTATTCTGGCAGAGGAACCACTTCAGGAGCACTGTAAATACAGGCAAAAAAAGACAAGAGGACACTGTGTGCAGGTCAACAGAATCCAGCAGGTGCGTGCATGAATTAAATACCAGCCTTCCTACCCCCCCATCCCCCCACCCTCCCGCCAAAAGAACCCTGAGGAAAATGTAGGCGTGTTTCCAAACAACCTCCTCTCAGAGTTGTTGGGCCTATGAGCACTTCAAATGCTCCATCACAAGAGGTGGGGACCCACTGCAGCGAAAACTGAGAGCTTCATGCTTTATTTAAGTTTTTAGGGCAATTTAGTAGACCGACTTTAGGCAACATAAAACGAAAGTATCAAGTTCAGGTCAGCTCAGCAGGAACTGGCAGCGGAGCCTTGACATCAGCACTGTTCCAAGGTGTCCAAGGCAGGAAATTTGACCTCAAGGCACCCAGGCTCTGCCCAGTCCCCAGTGCTGACCCCAGGAACAGAGATCCTCAGGCACCTGCCCAGGACAAGGTCAAGTGCAAACACAGCAGCCATGAGGAGGGGCAGCAGGCATCCCATGAGATAACACAACCTTCAAGGGCTTCCACAGAGTTAACATAAAGCTGAGTTTCACATCACTAACCATCCAGGGTAACTCAAACCCATGGCTGCTAAGCCACAAGGCAAAATGTGACTTCATCTAGTGTCAGCATCCTGACAGCCTCACATAAAAACAGCAAGTTGGCAAAGCCACTTCACCAAAACGTTTCTTAAGCCTTGAAACTTAGTTATTCCAGAAATTTAAGTTTGACTTCAAGAGGAGGTTTTCACTTTTGTATTTCTTTTTAAATAACATCTGAACTCATATGTCAGCAAAAACACAAAATAGCTCCCTTTCCAAATAACTTGTAAAGTTGTAACTGTGTATTAGGAAAGAAATCTTTATGGACTATGATAGAGAAAAAGAATAACTGGGGGTCAAGGTAAAATATTCATGCATCTAAAATACCTAACATTCTATTGCAGACACTTGTCTTTTGAGAGGCAAGGATTCAGAATCTCTATGACCAGAACTCCCAGGAACCTGAGGAAACCCACGGACCCATTTTTTCAGAATTATATTTGCAATGCATAAAATAAACTACATAGGATTAACAGAAAACAATTTCAATTGAATGCAAATAAAGTTATCAAAACATTTAAAATAAACATATAACACCCCAGTAGGCACTTTTAAAAGTAACATATTATATAACAAGGCCTTGTGGCAGGTCTGATGACTACTATAATTTTGAGGAAGAAATGAGTATCAATAATATTTTAAACTACAACAACTATAAGATGACATAAAAATGGCTGAGATTTCTACTGTGACAAAGTCACTTATATTGCTAATGCTACATTTATAATGGAATGTAATCTTAGAAGTTAAAAGGTTAGTGAAAATAAAAATATAATTTTTTTCTCATCTAAAGTCACTGATTCCCTGAATTCTCACCACAGATCTTAGGTTAAAAACTACTGCTAGCCGGGCTCGGTGGCTCAGCCTGTAATCCTGCGCCTTTGGGAGGCAAAGGTGAGTGGACTGCCTGAGCCCGTGGGTTCGAGACCCGCCTGGGCAGGCGAGACCTCATCTCTACAATAAATCAAAAAATCAGCCGGGCGTGGTAGCACACGCCTATAGTTCCAGCTACATGGAAGGCTGAGGCGGAAGGATCGCCGGAGCCCAGCAGGTCAAGGCTGCGGTGGCCGGGAGCGGCCACTGCACTCCAGTCTGGGCGACAGAGTGAGACTCCACCTCAAAAAAAAAAAAAAAAACTACTGCTATAATTTTTTAGAAGGACAGGGGGAACTCTGCTGTTTTTAAAAGTGTAATATATACATATATGAAGTGCAGGGGTCTTTATTCTTTCAAGTGTATCTTCCCACCCCTAAGATTCAGTTAAACAATTTCACAAACATGAGTTACCAGAAAGAGCTCCAGATCTAGTCTTCCTTTTTTATATCTTTTATTTTAGAGTCGTGAGATACACGTGAGGGTTTGCTACAGTAGACTGCGTGCAGATGAGGTTTGGGCTTCCAGCAAGTGCCTCCCCCCGCCCCGGTAGTAGACCTGATGCCCAACGGGTGGTTATACACCCTGATCCCCCTCCCTCCTTGCTTTAGCCGTGCATGGTGTCTACTGTTCCCGCCTCTGTGCCTGTGTGTGCCCAATGTTTAAAGCCAGCCTATGAGTGAGAACACATGGCATTCGGTTTTTTGCTTCTGTGATGGTTCACTTAGAATGATGGTCTCCAGCTGCACCCATGTTGCTGCTAGTCCTGCTGAATGTCTGCAAAAATGGTAAGACTGTCATATCCCTCGTGCCATCACAGCCACAACTGTCACCAATGACTGGAAAGAGAGTTCTGGTGAAATGACCCTTGTGGTCAAATCTGCAGGCCTGCCTAGCCATCAGACAGAATTAGCATACAGATCAGTCACCACAGGCTAGAAAGACACCCAGAAATTTACACATTGAAATATAGCAAGGGATGCTATAGGACTAAGTCGTATCCTCCATAATGCGGAAAGAGAGGATATGCCTTTTCTGAGCACCTACAGTACCAGGTAAGTTAGATGCATTAGCACATTTAATCCTCATGACGGCCACATGGTGCAAACAGGTTCCCAGAACCTGCTCCCAAGATGGAGCAAGTAAGATATGGCTTATTAGTAGCATCTGGCTCATACCCAGTCACAGGAAGTAACTATAACAGTGAAGGAGCAAAAACGAGAGAAGGTAAAGATGGGAGACTGAACCCACACATCTCCCAAAAACCAACAAAAGGAGAATTTTAAAAGGCTTTTACTTTAATGGAATCCAACAAGGACATGGAGAAGACAAGAGGAGACAGAAGAAAGTTGTAAATCAGATAAATGAGTGGGAAGTAAGTTAGAAAACCAAGAACAGTGAATACTAAGCTGACAGTGAAAAAATTCGAAAGCCAGCACAATTAATAACAGATAAGGGAACCGGCAGCACTGGGTGCTTCTGGAAGTGAGGATGAAGGAAATGACAAAAATAAGACTGCGAGTCCATTTAAAACACAGAGATTTTATCCATAAAAACAACATGGCTTCCCACTTCATCAGTCAGTTGTGCATCTTCCTCAGCCCACCAACAGAGTCAGAACCATCTCACACAGAATGGTCATTCTAGAAGGCAGTAAGACACCTGTCCCACATTCTGTTTAAACTTCAAGAGTCCTTCTGAGGAATCTTTTTCACCTGTATCATAACATGAACCAGAGGTCAGGGATTAGGAAAACACCAGGCTTCACGAGCCTCAAAAGTCCTGTCCTCCTCTGAGCTGGCATCACTGTTCAATGTTACTGACGTTCTTCCTCTTCCTATCTCTCTCCAGGATCCTTCTCTACGGCATCTCAGTAGTCTTAGATCTCCACTCTCTTTAAAAAAAGAACAAGCCGCCGGGCTCGGTGGCTCAGCCTGTAATCCCGCGCCTTTGGGAGGCTGAGGTGAGTGGACTGCCTGAGCCCGTAGGTTCGAGACCTGCCTGGGCAGCGAGACCTCATCTCTACAATAAATCAAAAAATCAGCCGGGCGTGGTAGCACATGCCTGTAATTCCGGCTACTTGGAAGGCTGAGGCGGAGGAAGGCCGGAACCCAGCAGGTCGAGGCTGCGGTGGCCGGGAGCGGCCACTGCACTCCAGTCTGGGCGACAGAGTGAGACTCCAACTCAAAAAATAAAAATAAATATAACAAGTCATCAAGTCTTGACTTCAGCATCCCCCAGCTCTTACACTATTTGTCCTCCTCTTCAAAACA